CCCCCCCCCCCCCCCCCCCCCCCCCCCCCCCCCCCCCGCCCCCAGCCCAGATCACGTAAGCGGGAAACGATTCCAACGACCGGAGTCGACTTTTACCACCCTCAGCCCTCCTAAACACGATAGGCTCTTCCGAAGATGATAGCTTGTTGAAGTCCTAGGAAATTCGACTAATGATGTTGAATGAACAGACTCTCTCACACCTGTGACTTAATGAGAAGATGCACTCGCGAAGTTTCCTAAAAGGTTGGGCCGTTGTTTCAGTGGGGTCTAATGAGAAAGAATCTTCATTTGAAGCTGTCAAGCTCTTCTTCCAGTGATTGAAAGGTCTCTGAGATACCGGTTTAAACTGAGGACAACAGACAAGTTCTTTCCCGTTGCGATCATCCTCAATTACGTTAATAGATCTACAATAACGTTATAGTTTTTGACTTATCAATGGTTCAGCGGCGCATAGAGCGGTAATCACAACATCTACTGACAACCGCGCCAGGTGTAGATCACTTGGTCTCAACCAAGCATCGAAACATCAAGCACAGTGCGAGCGAATGATGCTGTTGCTGGGACTGTTGTGGGTATGAGGACAAATATTTTAGGTTGTGATCTTTTTCTAGTCATTGGATTCTCAGTCGAGAAGAAAGTGTCTCACGATAATTGGCGGCCTGCCCCAACTTCCAAGCTGTTCAGCATGGGAGTGGGCAAGGTTGAACAGCGGTAGCCCACATTGAGTCTACGGCATGGAGAGAATTTTTTTACCACGGTCAGCGATGTGTTTAAGTCTGCTGCAACCATCTGTCTATCGTGGTGTAAGACGCAAGATGGGAGCCGCTCAGCGAAAATGAAGTCTTGAAGCATCAAGGTTTACGTGCAACCCAACTGCGAAACAAAACGTCGCTATTCACTATGCAATTGGTCCTTTTCTCAGTCTGTATGTGTGACATATTGCTGTCGCGATCATTGTTAATGATCTATTGCGAAGATTCAGGACCATCCGTCGTTGGAGCCACAATTTCAATTCCGCTAGAAGAGCCAATCACGAAAGTCTCACCAATCCAAGTCGATTGCCTTAACTGATCCGATCGGGCTCTTCAGTACGACTTGGCTTCGTCCTCGAAAGTAAACAGACGAAGATGCACATCAAAAAGGGATCGCAGTGCTCCCGGCAAGGCTCGAACTTGCGACCTTTGGATGTCTCCACCTGGGGCAGAGTCATAGACAATTGCTATGAGACCAACGCTCTTCCAACTGAGCCACGGAAGCGGAGACGTGATTGGCCGGTCAACTCTGACCCCCAGTTCACCCAATTGAACAGACCGCAATTGCGCGTTGTGGGAAGTCCAATAACGAGCGGCTCTGCGAGAGGTTGCGGGGGATGTGGGGGGTTTCGAAAAGGACCCATGCAACGTGGTTGGGGTCAGCAGAGAGGTGTTGTGTTGAGACGGCTTGCCGAAAAAAAAAAAGGCTTGGAAGAAGCTTTCAGGTTCTGCAGCAGGGTAGCATGTGCATGGGTCCGCAGACGGGGCCCCGGTCGTCGAAAGGTTGTCAGTGTTTCTCAACTGACGACGACTTTGCGAGTTGGAGCAGAACTCCATTCACGGCTGGCTCATGGAGAGAACACCGAGGCAGCACATGGAGTCGTATGCTTCGTCCAGTTGGCTGAGTTGGCTGAGGGGCAGTGCTGCGGATGGAGCTGGGGGATCGCTCGGAAACTCACGGAAGAGTCATAAATTAAAGGGATAATGCGGCAGGACGGTGAGGAAGAGGAGAAAGAAAAAATTTTCTCATGGCGGACGCAACTCATGTCCTGATGTCGTGAACGGGTTTGAAGCATCATGTGGCCTCTGTCGGCGGCTTTTTCGCTGTCTGCGCTGGAATCCCTTAGGTAAAATGGGGGTAACAAGAATAAGCCTCCAAGCGTTGTCCGGGGGGGCTTCAGTGTTCTGCCAGCACTGTGTGGGCGAAAGGGGGCCATCCGAGCGCCCTGGTGCTCCTGAGTCGGAGAGAGCACATCAGATGGAGTCCTGTGTCCCCTCGGATGCAAGCCACCTGGAAATTGCGAGCGCGAAGAGGAGGGGTAAAGTGTGTTTTTTTTATTTTGGTTTTCTCTCGCGATCGCATCTTGCGATGGCAACATCGGCCGGTGCTGCACTTACACGTGGGCAGACGCCCTCCCGCCCCCGGCCTCTTCAGTGCGCTCGGAGCGGGGCGGCGCGCAGGCAAACCCTTCCGGATCAGGAAATAAGACCCTACACGCTCACGCGGCGGCCGCCATTTCCGGCGGGTCCTGCGCCCAATACTGAGGTTCGGACGGGCCATCGGGCGACCCTTATCGGAGTGCGTGCTGTGATTCGCGGTCCAGCCGCGCCCGTGTTAAAGGTACGTATAAGAAAGTCTGGGGAAACGGCTGCCCAGGTCCACCGCTGGCGGGATTTGATATCGAGAGATAAGATAACCGCGTTTGCTGACATTTTGTTTGGCTCGCGGCGGCTGATGATGCTTTTTTTGGGGGGCAGACAGAGCAGGGGGGGGAGGCGTGAGTTTTATGCAGGGCGTGATTGACGGATGCACCAAGTGAGGTGCCCAACCCCGTGGGCGAGCAGTCAAGGTCCACGTCCGCAAGAGGGGATGAGAGACGGTCAGCATGACCATGGATTCACGTGGAAACATCCGTGTTTGAAAGTTGCAGCAGACGACTGCCTGTCTTTCTGACTGCCGCGATCCATTTTCCCCTCAACCTGCCTCTGCCCCTCGCACTCCGAAATCGCCCGGAGCGGTGGACGGGGCTTCGGGCTGCAAGCAACTCTCGCAACGCTGCGATTTCATTAGTAATATTTCCAAGGGGGACGGTGCTCCCGGGGGGCCTCATGACTAGCCTCAACCCAAGTGACCGATTGCCGGAGATAATGTGGACGCCCCGATGTTAGCCGGAGCCACCTTTCCGGCGTTGCGGAGATAGCTCTCAGCTTATCTGCCACCGTGAGACCCACCTCGTCCGTGTGGCATAAGAGACGGCGTCTGCACACCACCATCGTTCATTCACCGTGGCTCTGCTCGTCTCTCTTCCTTGTTACAACCTCTCGTCAAGTCTTGGAATCGCCCGTTGAAGCTGTTACAAACCACTTACACAACAACAACCCTTTACCAAGATCACCCACTCCCACCAGCCATCTTCACAATGGGTTCCATGCCAACTCCCCTGCGCGTCGCCATCGTCAAGGCGTACGACCTCGAGGAGCCCAAGCACAGGGGCATGGTCCAGTCCTTCCGCGACAACATCCGCCGCCACGTCCCCGACGCCCTCGTCGACGCCTACCAGCCCATGGCAGACATCCGAGACCTCCCCGAGCCCGCCAACTACGACCTCATCATCATCACCGGCGGCCTGAGCAACCTGTGCCAGGCCCCCTCGTGCTACGAGCCCTGGGTCAACGCCGTGCTCGAGTGGATCCGCGGGGTCGTCTCGACGCAGCTCATCACCAGGACGAAGCTCATGGGGGTGTGCTGGGGTCACCAGGCTATTGCTACCGCGTTGTCTGGGTCTATTGGCAGCTTCGAGTTCCCCAGGGTACGTTCACGCCATTCTCCACGTTCAAAACGTAAAACTTTTGGACCCGGGACTAACAATGTGTCTCTGACAGGTCGGCGTCGAGGAACTCCCTCTCAACCAAGACGGACAAGCCCTCTTCGGCAAGAACTCCATCGTAAGTTCATGTCATCATCAACCCCGAGCACCCTCCACGCACGAGCGCGCTAACCCGCACCCCCACCCCTCCAGAAAATCACAAAGTTCCACAAGCGCTTCGTCAAGGACGTCCCCGCGGGCTTCAGGCCGCTGGCCCCCGACAACGAGATCCTCTTCGCGGACTCGGGGCTCGTGCTCTCCATGCAGGGCCACCCGGAGATCCAGGGCGAGCTCGCGCGGCAACTGTTCGACCACGACGTCGTCTACTACCGGCAGACGCTGCCGACGGAGGAGGACCTGCAGCGCTACTTTGCGCAGATGAACGACAGCAAGGAGGACGGCGAGCTCATCTTCAAAAAGGTCGCGGCGTGGGCTGCTTCATGAAAGGCGTCACGGTGGGAAGAGAAAAGTTCGATTCTAGGCACATGGTTTAAAATAAAAAGCGTTTCTTCTTTTGGGTCAGTTGGCGACTGTTCGCTTGTTGTGAAAAGTACTCGTTTCAGGTTCTCTGACTTGCTCCTGTCGATTCATGAGAACGCTATCATCCCAACCGCGTGGAGGACGTTTGCGCCTGAGCTCTATCCAACGCCTGTGAGAGATCTTCCGTCTTTCTTCTCCTTATATCCCTGGCGCCGTACGGGTAGTCACATTCGTCCTCCGCCGCCGCCGCAGCCCGCGCCGCATCCTTCCGTCGCTCCGTCACCAGCCACCGCGACGCAGTTACCACGGCAAACACCACATCGACAAAGTTGAGCGCGTCCACCAGCGCCTTCCACTTGAACCCGACAGCAGGTGCGCGAATCTCTGTTGCACTTTGCGTCCCGTCCCATATGCGCTCGTCGGCCTGGCGGGCCCAGCCATCGTGGCTGCGCGTCACCAGGACTTGGCGGAGGGGGTGCTGGTCGTTTTGGCGTACCGCGCTGCCGTCGCTGTGGGAGTCGTCTTTCGTGTCGATTCGGGCACGGTATGGTTCGGGGGGGTATGCGAAGATGTGCAGGATGGAGACGGCTGCCATTTCGAAGCAGAGGATCGTGTTGGGGATCCCGACGGCCCAGGAGGGGTATGAGATTGTCGCGGTGGGTTTGATTGGGCCGTCTTCTTTCATTAGGAAGCTGAAGATGAACTATCAGGGCGGTCAGCGACGATCATTGGGAGGATGCAGCGCGGAGCTGTTTGACGGTGTTCGACTCACGGTCTGGACGTAAAAGAGAAATACCACCAACTTGATGGCGAGGAATTTCAACAGAGGTTGGTGGGTCTCAAGCTCCTTTTTGGTCTGCTGGTAGAATTGAAGGAGACACATCATTGCAGTCACCAGCGACAGGATCTCAATGACCATAACCTTTGCATGACGGTGAGCAGTTGAGTTTCACTGTGTCTTTGCGGAGGACGTCAACTTACCCAGATCTTGGCATGACTGGCACTGCTCGACTCTTCACAGTACACGTCCGCGGCCTCCGTAATGCACTTGACAAGAGCGCCGAGAAACTTGACGATACAGAATTGAAAGACGCAGAACCAGATAGTCTTGCCAAAGTCAGCAATTGCCTGTCCACCATAGACGTAATCTCAAGACGTACGTTGAACCACTTCAGCCCGTCCACGCTCCGATCTTTCCTGCGCCCGATGTGGACCACCAGAAAGCGTATCGGATGGATCCACGGCTTTGGCTCGACCAGGGAGAACGCCCGTCGGAGCGTGGTGGGATCCGGGTGCAAGAGCTGGCACAACAGCAAGAAAAAGGCCGCGATGACAAGGGACTCGTAGAACTCGTAGATGCTGGCGAGGTAGACGTGCTGCTTGTAGAACTCGATGCTGAGGGTGCAGGCGATGGTGTAGATTGGGACCATCAACAGGATCCGAATGATTCTAAGAGGGCGATTGGTGTCAGCTGCGATTTTTGACGCAACTGCCTGGGTATCTTACTGCTTCTGTTCGCTTGGTTTCGTGTAGTGTCTGGCGTGTTGGAAGACCTGCCAGGCTGTAAGGCAGCATGCTACGATGGTTGCGGATGTTGAGAGGGAGAGGAGGAGACCGTGGACTCGGATGCCGCTCGTGAGCTTTTGCTCGACGACTTTGAGGGCGACGCGTTAGATATGCTCCTTCTGTGAAGACATCATCCGTTGTGGGTAGCTTACTTGGCACGTTAAGCGGGTGTTCTGTGCACTTCGCCATTCCGGAAGTCAATAGCCCGCCCTTTCCGCGGAGGAATCCGAATTGCTCTCTTGCCAAACGCAGTTCTCTTCGATTCCAGATAACTTCCACTGCCGTGTCTATTGGTTTTCAATGAAAAGAAAGTTGTTGTCGCGGTGCTGATTTTTGATAGCAAGTAGAATGTAGACTAGTAGGTACTGATGACCGCGTCCATTACTTATCCCCTCCTAACCCCCGTGCGCGACGTCAAGACAAACTTTCCGACGGCTCCTTGCCGCACTCCGGGATGATCTTAATTGCCGTCCCGCTGACGGGGGTACCCGCTACTTAACCAATAGAAACGACAGCAGCGCGTACCAAGAAGTGCGTTGAGACATTGCTCACCGCGAAGGCGGAGGTTTCTCCACTAGGCTGAGTTTCATAG